ATTATTTGTTTTGAAAAAGGTACTGCAGTAATTATGAGAGAAGTCAAAAAGTCTTATGGGTTGAGAGAAGTTAATAAATGTTGAGGTTAATTTTTTTTAAAAAAAATAAAAAATAAAAAAATTAGAATCGGCATATTAGAGCTTTCATAAATCTTATTGATTAAAAACTCCTCTTTACTTAATATATAGTATAAAAATATAGATAATTTCTCTCGAAAAATGTTTAAGATTATCTTTTTTTTTTGAATCTTACAGCTCTTTTAAATCTCAATAATTAATCAATCGTGCTAAAGGCCTAGAAAGGGAGGCGCGAATTTGCCTCGAAAAGATGTTTTGTTTGTTTGTTTTTTTTTTAGTTTAGTTTTGTTTTGTTTTTGTTTTTTTTTAAAGGTTTTTATGTGTTTCTTAAAACTAATAAAAAAAAAAAATTTAAACCAATACAACCCAACAAATAAAATAAAATTTTAAAAAAAACCCAACATAGCTCAACAAATAGAAAAAAAAGAAAAAAAAAACAGTTGGGTTAGACTGATTGGGTGATAAAATTGACTGATCAGTTAGACTGCTGGTTAAAATTTGTTACTTCCATATAATTTTGTACAAGTCCTTACTATATTTTTATTTCAAATCAGAAAGACTCGGAAAAAATAAAAACAAATATGGTACTTTTCGCAACCAAAATGTTGGTCACGAAAAGTGTTTTTTCTTGTAGTGACATAAAAAAAAAAAAAAAAAAAAAATTACAACAGCCCAACAAATAAATAAATAAATAAAAACAACCAAACTAACACAATCCAACTCATATATTTTTGTACGAGTCTTTACTTTATTTTTATTTCAAATTAAAAAGACTCGGATAAAATAAAAACTTAAAACTTAAATTCTAAGCTTTAAATCCACCCCTACACATAATCATCCTTTAAAAAAATAAAATAAAATTAATAACAGCTTAACAAATAAATAAATAAATAAAAACAATCAAACTAACACAACCCAACAAATAAATAAAAATAAAAATAAAAACAACCAAACTAACACAGTTTCAAAGAAAAAAAAAAAAAAAACTTTTTGAGCCACATGGATATATATATGTGCAAACTTACGTAATATATTATCATATAATAATATGTAAGCCCACTGCTCAATAATTGGGAGCCAGAAATTGGTTCAGTCTCAAAAACAAGGTCTATTATTCTCCCATTGAGATGCCTCTTTCGTTACGTGGGTGCCAAGTCTCTCTTTTCAACGTGGGGAGTCCAAATCCAGCATCCCAGTACTCAATAAACGCCACGTCAACCTATTCCACAACAGATTTTTGCCGAACCCCATCGAACATCCAGAGAGAGAATTTCTCTCTCCTCTCATCTCTCCTGTGAGAAAAAACAGCAAGAACGTCCCAGATCCCCCCAACCCCACAATAAACCATTTCTTCCTCAACCTTCCACCGATTTCCATCATAGCATACTCTCATACGCATTTGCAGACTCTCTCTCTCTCTCTCCTCTCCTCTCTCTCTCTCTCTCGATCTCTTCTCGTCTCTCTTCTCTCATCGCTCGTTATTCAATCTCATTTCTAAAGACGAAGATGCAGAATTCGATACTCCAGTGAAACATGGCTCAGCGATGGGAGCCAGTGCCTCCACAGTCAAGCCCAGCACAACACGCTACGCGACCCAAGCTGTGAAACCAGGCTCTTCCGCTCCGGCGCAGGTCCAGACTGTTAATACACTAAACCTAACCCTAACCTAACCCACTACATCCACCCACTAATACCTAACAATCTTACAATCTCCCACTACCACCACACCTCCACTACCATCCACTACCACCAAATCACCTAACCTCACACAACCTTCCTATATAATACTTAATATACAAAATCAAATAAACAACGAATCTT